ATGTGATTTCATCTTTTTTAAATATTTCATTTGGCAGCATCCGTTAAGTTTTTAATCGTTGAAGTGTAAAGATCTTTGTCCGCTAATCACTATTAAAGTTTTATAAGTTTTGCAGCACAAATAGTTCACGCTATTCTTTTAAAATGTTAACATGATTCGTATACAAACCTCAACCACCACCACTTTTTTGTATTATAATATTGAAACTAGTAATAGTGTTGTATCCAAGTGTATCCGCAACACATATAATAGGCTGAGCTATAGCATAATAATAAGGGAATATTTATTATAAGCAGACATCATCTGCCAGAAGACCACTAGATCAATTTAAATAGAAGTTAATTTCACATTTTTTTAAATTATGATGCAATATTGGATTGTCTGACTCACAATCACCGTCACCGTCTGGATAAATTAGGGGATGAAAGTTTGTATGAAACTTCGTTACTAAAGTGCTAAGGGTTTCAAATTTTGCATGCGGGTTCTCTTTAGGACGTAGGTGCTCACTAAGACGGGATTTTATGAAATTCAACCCCTAAGGGGGTAAATTAGGCGATGAAATTTTGTATGGAATTTTCTCATTTCTGTACTTAAAATTAGATAACGCGGGCGAAGCCGCTGCAGGAAGGCTAGTTATTTAATGAATGAACGTTGTAAATTTTTGTTTCATAATTTCAACTTGTTGTTGTTTTGGATTTTAGTCTGTTACCTGACATGTCTTTGTACCTATAAATAAATAAATATATTTAGAAGTTTTCTACCTTAACAAACCTACTAAAATCAGCGTCCTACTTTTTTACTGAAGCACTTTCCTGTTTATATTATCGTGATATTATGTTACTTCGACAAGCAGTCAAACTATCGATAAAATTGCCCTGTCGAAAATCAACTGCTCTACGATACCTTTGCATAATATTATAATGGATTTCTATCACTAATATTATAATATTACCTTGAGAACCCCATACTAAACTTCATTATGATCGTGTATATGTAGGTACGTATTATTACGTTTCTGTATTCTATAAATCAAGCGCTGAAATTCCGGGACATCTGCTGGCCCAAAAAGTTAGAAATAGACTTGTGTTGTTATAAATAATTAATGTTTGTTATTAAACATAATATAACATATAAATACTGTCTTTCTTTCATAAATCCCATTAATACGAGAGATAAAAGTTTCGATACTTTTAACGATACTGTTTTTTAACTATCGATAGAACCACTGACTCTGTTGCAACACTAGTATCCGAACGTTGCCGGGCAATAACGCTTCAAATCTCTTGATATCCAATCATCACACGGAAGCGATGTTTGAATACATCTCACGATTATTTGCTTGGATCAAACACTCGAAAAGATATACATTGAAATCGTATAATATCCTACCGAGATTCAAGATTAACCTAATTCGCTCATGACAAAGCACGATTTCGATTCGTTCAATAAATATTGTGACGAAATCGTTGAGGTTGCCAAACTATCTATCAGTCATCAGTATTTTGTTCAGTTATTTATCTTTGTAGATTTGATGTTACCAGAGACGTCGTCCGTATTGTTAAGTAGATCAATAACAATTGAATTTATTGAATTTGTTAATTCAATTTGGAATTGTTTAATAAATATATGTATATTAAACAACATCCCATTACGTACTAAAGCAATTGTATTATAGAATTTTGTAACATTGGAGATGCCACAAAACCCGAGGTTATCAAATAGTTGGTTTTCTTTTAAACAGCTCGTAAATGAACTCCAGGTGGCGCCTCCTTGAAACTGGCGTAACCGGCGTCCATTGGACCAAAGAGGTCAATATACCTTCCTCATGAAACTACCTTTAGGTTTGGATAATTGGGCACAGCAAAATAATGTATTTTGTACATTGATTAATCCCGTAGTACAGTTGCCGATTACAGAGAGTTTCGTACAACGTCCCGACATTATGTGTCTCTTTCACTCGTACACAAGCAAATTGCTTTTGCGCTCGAACAGATGCTTCAATCCAATTTTGTCATAGTAAAATGAACATGAAAAATTTTTATGACATCTATTAGTAGGTACAAAGGTCAACGTATGTAATTATTTCATTTATATACAATAGGACATATTTTGTCATATCATTGCTGTCAAACCACCTTCGCCTTTCCATTTCGATTTAATAGGTCAATCTAACCAGAAGTAATATCTCCTAATATTTTCTATCAAATCTACTGATCTATAAGGAAGGTACCCGGAAATACTCCCATTCATATGGGAAATTAAGTTTTCATCAATTGGACGGCAGGAAATTTATTTTCACTCGTATATCTAAGAAGAATAACTAGTTTCAATACCTATTTGAATGCTTTTGATGAAAAATGTTTTATCGAATAATAAAAACAAACGCGAGAAGTATATATTATTTTTATGATATCATTCTATCAGGTATCATTCTAAAAATAAAAAATACATAACATTTTAATATGAACCATATATATCTACCCGACAAAGAAAGGGTTGGGATTTTCGCGCGTATCTTCTATCTATGTTAATAATATTTTTTATTACTTCATACCTTCAAAAATGCTGAACGGATTTAGATAATTAAGGTATCGTTAGATTTGTCTTAGTAGCCCAAATATTCTTAAATAGGTAACGTCAAAAAACTAACATGGCGGCTGTGCGCTGCAATTATATTTCATGATATATATATATTTCAAATACTGCTATGTGGGTATCCAATTAAAGTTCTCAACACGATGATGTCATGATTAGCATTACCGTAATACTAATAGAAAAAACAATGATAAAGTTAAAAAATATGGACTTTATTCTTTCACTTTATGAACCAACCTAGTAATTTGTCTAACTAAAAAGAGATTTAAAAAAATCATTAAAAACAACTAACTGAAATGTTGGAACAAGACAAAAAAATCATGCAAAAAACATTCATAAAATGCAGTTGGAGGCGTGAAATTTAATAATAAGACAATTTTTTGTATGCGTCTCATCTTTCATATGTAAGTTTCGTATACACGTAAGGTGTTAATAATTTTTGCTTATCATGATGAGTCCAAAATAGAACTGGAGTCGTCAAAAACTTTCACATATTACTACTGATATATTTGCGCACAATCAGCCAGCAGGCAAACACTTAATATTTTAGGCCATATTCGTAACAAGATTATACCTTTTCTGTTATGCCAAATATTTTTCAAAGCCAAACTAGATGTATAGCCAATAGAGAACCGTTTAGCGATACTTTAAAAAATTACCATTCCTTGTTACTTCGACAACATAATCGTATTTAACAACAAAACATTTCTAAAAAACAATAGAAATAATGTTTACATTATTCAAAGTAAATGTCATCAAGGAAGCATAACCTAAAAAGACATCAATTCTAAAGAAATCATTGGTTTACCGAAAACCGATCAGATATCTATGGCCGGGTCAGCAAACGAAAACCTGCTCGGCTGGAAACAGATAAGCTGTGTCTATCGGCCACATTATAATATTTCTACTCTGCCTTCGTCAAAACGAAAAGACGTTGAAGGGACGAACAAAATCTGAATAATATGTTAAAATTTAAATATAATACAATAAAAAGAATAAAGATGGAGAAAGAAGAAATCATGACTTTAGTTAATGAGGCCGATACAGGCAGAAATAACATCAAAGTTTCCAGTAACATTTATAAAAAACCTAATTTTATTTAACGATATCTATTAGAATTAGTCATAACATATTAAACGTTTGATGAAACTTGGTAAGTACGATAAAACCTGGTATTATGACAAGGTATAATAATAGTTCAGTTGAAGTTTATCAATAAGTACACAAAGCTTAATACGAACCTTTAAAAGAGGCTTATGGAACCTTCGTAAATTTAATAATGTGTGTTCAGGTATTTCATACAATCAATTAGAGATATAACTATGACACAGGTTTCTGAAATTGCTTTAGTAGAATATATTACATAAACAATACAATTTGGAATTGGAATCATAAAGATTCTTCTTAACATCTAAGTAAAGTAAAATAGAAATATTATTAAGTAAAGGCTCGTATATACGAAATAAATTATTTGAGGCTGAATAAGACAAACTTTTACCTAATTTAAGAATATTTGTCCTGATCTATTGACTAATTTAGAGACAACGCTAATGCTGGTCAAAGAGACTTGAAAAAACCTTTGTCTTATTTATTACATATGAATGTACAAAGAAAAAATTTTTGGAAATTTCGTCCTAGTGAAGTGGGATCAAAACATATGTATGAAAGTTCTTTGTTTTTGAACCGTTTTAATTTGTATATATTTTCTCTTTACGTTAAAACCGCTTTTTTATTAGTGTTTTTTTTTTAATAATATAAAGAAAATGTACACAGACATAAGCAAGTAAGAAATATAAAGCTATAACTTCAGTAGTCTTGGCTTCCCTTTTGTATATTGTGTTTGTCTTGGGGAAACTTTCATCACTTTAAAATTATGCTATTTAGGAAGTTCAAAGTTTTAACAAGTAAATGGAAGCTGAATCTTTGAGTTTCATTACTAATTAATTTAGACTTCCGTTCGTAAGCAGTATGAATTATGATTAAACAATAATAATTGATATTTTTTTGATATAAAGGTTAAGTTTAAATAGTTTTAGTAGTTATACCACAGAATAATGTGTAGTTTTAATACAAGCTTATATTTTATTCGCCGTATACGAGTGTGGATCAAATGTTGAAAAGCATATTTGATCTAATTTCTAATTTGTAATTTACGTGAAATTTAGAATAAAATTTTAATTCTAATGACAATGCAAAAATATAGTTATATTGTTGCTAATCCAAAGCAGCCCTCGGAACGAAAAGACAGATGGTATATTGCTTAACAGAGAAAAATGCATTTGTAATGCTGAAGAGGGTTATGCGGTCTATGGTGCATAAACCGCCACCATAGTCTTGTAGGGAATACTAGATACCTTAGCATTTTAACTCTCCCTAGTCTTTATATAAGTATATTGATTGTCGTTATGGATATTTTGAAGCATAAATATAATTACGAATCGGCAACACCTAGGAAGGTGAGTTAAAATAGCAGAAGAAAAGACATAAATTTTAGCTTCATCTCAAATTAAATATTGTAAAACATTTTAGTGTAAGCAGTTAAACTTTTTAACGCCCTGAAAGTGCTAATAATTTTAAAACGAAATTGACGCAACTTCTGTTAAACGGATGTTTCTATCCGCTGGAGGTTTATAGTAAATAATAATGAAGAATTACTACCTAAACCTTATTGTTTAAATATCATGAATAAGGTTAATTATTGATTGATATAATAGCACGATGGCGTCGATTGGACTGCGGTTCCCGAGCTATCGTCACCTAGCTCGAAGGAACCCAATTCCCCTTTCTAGTTACTTTCGCTAATTAGATCTTTCTTCCCCACCTTCGAGTACTTCATTATTATTTAAATATCGCTTTGTGCTCATAACGTAACATAAATTTTAGTGTAAATAATAACTTGTGATTTAAGAGCGTAAACAATACAAAAATTCTTAAAATAAAATAAAAAAACTTTATTAAAGTCTTCTCAACACTTATATAGTTATATATGATAATAAAAAATATCATAAGTACATTGCTCTTATCTACACATAAATTTAGTTTTAATTCTCTGACCATTTCTGCTTTCGTCTTTTATTTGTGAGGTGTTAAAAGAACTTTGGTGAATGGCATATCTCTGCCCATTACTGTCAAACTGAACTATTATCAATACGTGATTATTTTCAACTTCATTATTAATAATAAAGTTGAAAATGGTTTTTTATGTAATATATTTACTTAGACACAGTCACAAGGACCATCTTGGTCAGGCGTCAAACTCTAACTGGGAGAGAGAGTTCTTCTTACTGAGCTATACTTATGTATTATTTATTTTCTATCTTTAATACTGTACATTTTCTACATAGTTGTGACGTAGCAAGCTCCCAATCTTTAACTTTCATGCCTATTATCTAGATCACTTCTTGTTAAATTGAAGCAAAAACAAAAATACGTCTTTAAATCTGACTAACGGACTAAATAGAATTTCTTTTTTTACACAATCATCATGCCTATTAATTTATATTGTTAATATTATTTTTGTGATGGCGTGATTATTTTAAATGTCATTACTTCTGTTAGAGCTGGTGAGCTTCTTGGTCTTTCTTCTTATCCGCCAGAAGACATCCTAAATGAGTGTTACATACTGAAATGAAATGAAAAAAGATTTATTCAAGTAAGCTTATTACAAGCACTTTTGAATCGTCAAAAAAACTTTTTTTTCCCCCTACCACTTGTTCAGGACGTCTTTTAGCTGACAAGAAGAACAACCAAAAGGAACTTACCAGCTCTTTATCATTAGTAATGACATTTACATAAATCATATCATTACCAAAATAATATGTATTATCACAATAATAAATTAAACTTTCAAAGTTTGTAGGTCATAGGTTGTACATATAATAGGGATGATGACTAATTTTAGTTTTTTTTTGTCCGTTAGATAGAGTGTTAAAAAATATTAAACACGTATTTTTTTATTTTTTTCGTAATCATAAAATTACGGCGTTACATGGAGTTGAAATTTCGCATGACGTCACGTTACGTTACGAGCCCCCACTCCTCAACTTTAATGCCTGTTATCTAAGCTATTTCTTGTTAAATTGAAGTAAAAAAATATACGTATCTAATATTTTTCTATTATCTGACTGACGGACTAAATAGAATTGCATTTTTTTACCCAGTCATCATCCCTATAGTCGTTATAGAGCAAAGCGAAGGCTATTAATTCCATGCATTGCGATCCTTAAAATAATCATCAACTTTATTACTACCTTTCCTCTTGAATCACGAATTGATGAAAACCGTATTAATATCCGTTGTGCAGTATAAAAGATCTGGAAACAACTTTGCTTTATACTATGTACAGATGTATAAACATTCAGCCTTGCACATTCGAGGAAGTTCCTCTATGGAACTGCATCGGAACTACCGTTATATTTTCACGGATATTAAAACTTTTTTTTTAATTTTAAAATCATATTACTATATCTGTTACTTTTTTATGAAATAAAATACTGAATGGATTTTGATAAAATTTGAGATACGACATTAACATGTAGGCCAATTTTTATCCGACTAAACAAGATCACGCAGGTGAAGCCGACTAATAAGACTATGATGTTTTTGCTCAATATTATTATAGGTACATTTCAAATACATAAATAACAATCTAAAAATGTAATTTCAGGCGATAAAGTGGCATGAATGCGGGAGCTACCGCGTTATTATTTCGTCAACGACACGAATGTGAAATAAAAAAAAAACAATCAATGAAAATCGTACTCCGAGTGAAAATTTTAGAACGTCGTAAAATTTTCGCGGTTTTATTTGCAATGCGAGTTTAATTTTGAATATTGAAAGGCCTTCGGCGCACCTAACGCTACTTTTTTATATTGCCTCGGTCATACTTTAAATTTTACAGCCATGAACAGGAGGGTATGTATTTCAATACGAATCGTATGAATTATTGATCATTTGATTTTTGAGCAATCTCCGGGATGTGTTCGATTGGAAAATATAATCTGTATTCAACGCTGTGTTTTGATGTCTATATTTGAAATTCGTTTTATTTATTTTTTTCGGTTTAATAAATGGATGGGTGAAGTTATATTTAATATTTTTTACTACTAACTGTACATTGCCATCGCATGTAATAAAAAAAGTTTTAAAATATCGCTACCAAAGTTGTCATTAAAAACAAAATTGTCGTTTATATTATTAATAGGGGTACTGAAAATCAAAATTTTTAATTTTTAACAAATTTATTTAATCAGAATAGTTACCATTATTATCTATACATTGCTGCCATCTAATAGGAAGGTCATTTATGCCATTGCGATAGAACTCTGAGGAACTAGACTGCACAAACTGTGTGAAAGCATTTTGTACTGCCTCCTGGGAAGAAAAATTCTTGTCACGTAGATAACTGTCCAAATCACGAAAAAAATTATAGTCTGTTGGAGCAAGGTCTAGCGAATAAGGAAGACGATTAATGGTTTCTAACTGCAGTTCCTGGGGGGTCAAAACGGTTTCTCGTGCTGTATGAGATCTCGTGTTGTCATAGAGCAATAATGGTGAAGATCGATTCATGAGTCAGAGCTGTTTTACTACTCCTCCATTCATGCCAATGAAGTTAACTGCCAAGCTTAACTTTTGGCGAATACATCGAATATAAAGCCCAAACAGCGGCGAAAAAGCTGGGTATCTTAAGCAGGGTAAAGCGGTACTTCACACCGGAACAGCTTTTGATACTATATAAAACGCAAGTCCGGTCTTGTATGGAGTACTCACTTGTGGGATGGAGCAGCTAAGTATCAGCTCGCCGCACTGGAATCGGGGGAACACAGAGCCTAACATATTTCAAACTCATTTCGCACACCACAATCTCTTTTATTAATTTTTATGTATGTATTATATATCACTGGTACCTCATTATAATTCCCGCCTGGTTCAGGATTGGAGAGGCTGGTTATCTGTCATACAGTTTTACTAGAACAGTTAGCAGTCTCTGGCATAGATTATAAAATTTTTCTACTTAGTTTTTAAGGAGGTAGTATACTGTGATATCTATGTGAGAGAACAAATAAAGTTTATTATTATTATAATGCAAAATTGACTAAACATAATAATCAGAATGAATTTCCATCTTTATAAAAAGTTTAAATATTTGTTAAAATATTTCTTTCGGCTGTTTGGTTGGCTTGTCTGAACATTGATGGAAATACGCTCTCCAAAAACAGTAACAAGTACTTGAAAAATTTAACAGTCCTGTTAGGTCCTGGGTAGCCCAGTGGTTAGAGCAGTCGCCCGAATTGCGACAGGTTATGGGTTCAAGTCCCATCTCAGAGTGCCAAGGACAAAGTGGATTTTTCAATTTATTTCAACGATAGATAGTAATTATTAACTTATCCTAAAAATTTTTAGTAGAGATGATGGATAATTTCGTTTGTCTTTACGTGGGGTACTTAAAGAATATTATACACGTATTTTTTTTTCCTAGCGTAATCAATAATTTACGGCGATAAATTGAGTTGGAATGTCGCATGACGTCACACCTTTGTACAATTTCTACCTAGTAGAGACGTAGCAAGCCCCCTTCTCAACTTTAATGCTCATTATCTAAGCCACTTCTTGTTCAATTGAAGTAAAAAAAAACGTATCTAATGCTCTTTTATTATCTGATTGATGGACTAAATAGAATTTTATATTTTTTTACCCAGTCATCATCCCTATTGCAAATGAGCCCATCGATAGCAATGTTAATGAGATGACAATAGAATTTTAGTAATTAAGTGACACTATTGTGGCCAATTGAACAAGATAGATATTATTGATAGGATATGTGTATCTTATTCCCACGAGACGGTTTAAAAGGTGAGGATGTCCACAATAACATTTTTATTTTGTTTCAGGGGTGCTTGATACTTTTCATTTCTGCACTTGTGACTCAAAACTCCGCCGTTCGTCTCCACAAGATATTACAATATCTGGATGGGTACAAATCTGACCATAGGCTGCACGGATTTCTTCATATCGGTGTCGATTATGCTGTTTTCCTCAAACTGCCGAAACCTCACGCTAAATACTTTGTATACGAACTTTACGAAGCAAAAAATGTACCAGAAAAGGGTAGATACTCTCCAAGATTGCTCGCGGTCTCTAAAGTGCCCGTAGAATATATCAAAGATCAACTAACAACCTTCAGAGATGAGCTGTACAAGGCCAAATACTTTAATAACAATACAGTGCCTGGTACTAGAGTGAAAACCATAAGAGAATGGCAAATTGACAAAGCATTGAATTTTCATTCCGATGGACGAACATTCCAAGACAAGCCACCAATTCTAAGATCTGTATTGTGAAGTAAAAAAATGTAAAAATTAAAAAAATCTACAAAAAATCAAACCAGACATATTATCACGGCATCTTATATAATAATGGTCAAAAGTAGACTTCCAAATATTACTAACATATTTTATAGTGAGTAGTAGGTAATATCAAAACATATATGTAATTGGAATGATATACACTCGAAAAACTAATTTAGTAAAATCAGTCGAATGAAATATTATTGATGCAATAAATGCTATTTTATCAGAATATAATAAACGTAATTTTGTTATTTAGATATCGATGTAATATGTTGATGAGCATATTTAATTTCACACATAATTTCTAATCCTAATGGCTTCAATAGACACACAATTTGTGCATTAGCAAACTGTATTATTCATGCTATTAAGTTAATAATTATCACAAAACTGTATATATTTTGAAACATTTACAGATCAGTTTTATGTCTTATGTTTATGATGTCAGAAGGCAATGAAACCAAATATTTAGATGGACGTACGATTTTAATTCGAAATTTCGTTGTTGACAGACAGAAACTTTATTTATCAAGGGCATTTTCAAGAATAATCATAAAATGACCGAACATCACCTTATATCTATCCCCACCTTTTGGTAGCAAACGCCCCTTTTTATTCTAACGAAGGAGAAATGCATCTTAAGCCTAAAACCGACATATCTCGGTTATTCGGCTACGGCTTCCCGGGTATCATCTACTTACGCGAGAGTACACTGCAGGGTTTTTAGTGGATAGACCTCTGTGTGTCCATTGAGCGTATACCCACTGGGGGGAATCTCACATAACCTCTAAGCTCGTCAGATGACGGGGTATGCTTAAAGCATTTTTTTCTACAATAAATAGCAGGCTCTCCATCCACAAGGACCTGGTGCTGACTATGAGCTGTTATAGCAATGCTTAATCTGCGCAGTGAACGGACCAACGCTATTGTTCCATAAAGTGCTGTCCCGCTCGCTGCACGGAACAAACATATTTATAAGAGCTAATGGTGAGAGGGAGGCTAACCTGTCCTAAAAAGGTCATAGCATGGCTGACTTATCTGATGAAATCCGCTGCAGAATTCCCCCGGTAGGAAGGAAATATCTGGGATCCGGCAAAATGCCAACCGGTCCCAACTGTTTGCACTAAATTAACTACTCAATTCATTCCATCAACTATACTATAAAAAGTATAATTATGTTATTACGCGCTAGGGTTCGGGATAAAAATCAACGCTAATTAAATGCACAATCCGACTTTATTTACTTAAAAATTTACAAAAATAATTCAACAATAAAATCCACGTTTCTTCGATTTCACAATTCACGTCACTACTCTCGCTTCACACCACTATTTGTCGTCCGGATAGTTCACTTCACTAGTTTTCGCTAGTACTCACTCTCGTTTTCAGTTCACTTGTAACTAATTAAAAGAATGCCGTGACGGTTACTTTACCGCGTATTTATAGAGGTCGATACCACGTCTAGAATGGTCTACGTTAGGAGTAGGACCTAGAACGTAAGCCTCGGCCCTACCAGTATATTCGAGGCATTAAGTTAAAGAACGGCTACTCGTCTCTTTTTTCCCCAATGACCATCCCTTTCTCACTGACGTATACCTATATGATACACTTACATAGTTTCGACGGTGTTAACACAATTTAAATGGCACGTAATACCATCTAGTAAAGGGTGGAAAAAACATAACGCCGTTGCGCTCCGTAACAATATATTTTACACATGCCGTTGTAATACGACATCGATGCCTTTGTTCTAAGAGTATTTAATTATAAAATTTGTATTTACGATTATACAGTTCTTTCATGAATACCAAAATATCTTATGAATTTAACAAATTACAATTATATTACTACTATTTAAATTCAAATTCATTGTATTGACCTGTATTGTAACATGAACCAAATCATATCTATGGCCTCTAACAGGTATTATTATGACTTTTGCATTAAAAAAAGCAAATTTGTTAATATATAATAAATTTAGAGCAATTAGACACAATAATAGTGATTGCTGACGATAAGTTTCTCTTGATTGATTTTTGGTGTAAACTCCGAAGGTTATAATGGATTTTAACTTATAGAATTTCATGACAGTATGACATATTAGAATTAAATTATTTTGTGTGAAGTATCGGTTGAGTTCGAATCAATGTTCTAGTGAAAGACTGCTGCCAATTCAGTGTATCCTTTGAATTTGATGAATATGTTGAGAGGTGATGGCGAGAGGTTCGAAAATGTTATTCAATCTTTCAGTATACCTTTGTATGTCGCAGCAAGTATGTATAATTATGTAAATAGAATGTGCAAAGTATTTCGATGTTAGGAACTCAAATACATTCAAAGAGAAATTAGTTATTTTTATGAATTCAAGTGGCAGTAATTTTATTTAGTTTCTAGTTCTTATTCATTGCAAGATCCACCAATGCTTCTTAACAATGTGTAATATAGAGTAATTACTTAGTGACGTCTGATTAATGACGTAATTTAGCCCGAGCAACAATGCAAGAGGCATTCAGATGCCACAGAGATATCGAGATGTTCCATCTCATCTGTCTTTTCTTTACGATATACCCAAGTCGTAGTATAAAGACTTGTTTGGTCTTCATCGGATGGGTAATTAGAAGAATTTTTGATCTGCGTTTCTTAGCACTAAATGTCAATCCAACTTATTTTTGGAATTCTGTACCTTAAAAGAAATATAAGGCCCTTAGGCGTGCTTAATTATGTGTTACTCTGTGAAACTTTGGTTCACGGACTGCGTGCAACATAAAATGGAGGCCTGTTTCGGGAGGGGAACTCTTTGGGTTTAGTTCAAGAATATTTGAAGGTCTTCAAGGACGGAAATTTTGTATTATATTTTTAAACATTGTTAAATTAAATATCTAATTCTTAAATGAATTGTTAGTGAATTATTGCATCATTCCAAAACTAGGAATATACTGAAACAATTAAGGGTTTGTGATTATTTCATGAGTTCTAGAAAAAAAAAATCTTTTAGTATACGCAACGAAGCATTGAGGAAAAGGTTTCTGAAAATCTTTTACCTAAATCACTTATTTTTAGATTACATGATATAGACACACAGTAATAACATTCGGTTAGGTTAGGTTAGAACTATGACCAAAAACAAATATGATTAAGAATTTATATGTTCCAAAATAAAATAAAAAAAATTTTTTTCTTGTGCTCTAATAATTTAACATTTCATACAAATCTTAGTCTTACCAGTAAAAAGAGTAAGTTCAAATGATGTTTTTCTGCGTGATGAAGCAAAGTAGACAAATGGAAGAGCCCGAAAAATATTTTTCTTTAGCTATTGTTTTTGATGAGTTCCGTCATACATTTAACATTTCCGCATTTTAGAATTGTGAAGAACAATTTGCGTGAAATGAATGGTAGTGGGTAATTTTCACGATCAGATTTATGATGCCCATTTAAGCTGACTTGTTCTTTTTATCACTTTCTGCAATGGCTGACTATTCACGGTACGCGTAAAAACTGTGAATTTAATTTTGAAGTTAACTGTGTACGTATTAAAGCTTAAAATAAATTAGAGAAATCAACAACTTTCCATAACCTGATGCAATGTTGATGTTTAACCTTGTAAATATTTGATGAGCACATTTTTTGTGATATATCCTAAAATCGTTTAAGGTGTCATTAGAGTGATTTAGATTTTTGCCATTGCGTGCGAGACTAATAATGATCGTTTTCACTTAACTTGGGAGTCGCCCAAATATGTTACCTAAACATTTAGGAATCGCCTAATCTGAAAATGCATTTCACCACCGAAAGACATTAAAGCTATTAGATGCGTGCGGTGCATTGCATTAAGCACAGGCCTTCCACTTCACTTCAAATTATAGGTCAGTAGCGCTCACTTTCCTTTATTTCGGAATTATTTACTGACCCTGTGTAAATTTCTTATGGCGATTCATAATTTGTTCACCGGTGGCACTTATCATTTTAAGCTCAGCCTTAAAACGTCTTAAATTAAAATTTATTTTTCTTACTCTTATCAAGATTTTACTTCTAGGTATGTAAACGTGTATAATAAATAACTTTTAAAATGTAATCAATTATTACTTTCCTAACATCGTTGTCATTATCATGTACTTCTGAAAAAACCTATAGCTAAAAGTTAAAATTTTAAAATATGAGTTGAATACAGCCTCGAACTCGACGTCCAAATTCGCGCTTTCACGGCATAGAGCTCTAATGAAAATAAAGCTTTCATTGTCTACGTTTTCAAGATTTCAATGAGGTCTTTTTAGTTAGCGGTCGGTAAATTAACGAATGTGTTCAACCATTGTTTGTTTTAAAGAACTTCGTATGGAATACAAAGAAGTCTGTATCGTAGTAAAGTTATAAAAGTTTATACTATCTTGTACCGTGTTTGACTTTCATTCGGGAAGACTAGATAAGTTTGGAAATTGTTTCTCTGTTAAGTTAATCTGAAATGCCCTCTTATTTAATAAAAATATCACCATATCAGCCTTACCTTTTCAAATAGACTTCTTAAAACATTGACCACATCACATGTGTATGATGGATTGAAATATGTATATTACTGTCTTCTATATTCTGTATCACTTTTTATTATTTATTTAGTTTTTGTTTATAATTGTAAAGTGTAATGTGAAGGTCAATAAAAATACTTACTTACTAAAAGTACTTTTGAATTGTCCAACATTTTTTCCCTACCGCTCGTTCAGGAAGTCTTTTGGCTGATATGAAGAACGAACAAGAAACTCACCAGCTCTAATGGGAGTAACCATGTCATTACCAATAATAACATAATTATTTTATAATGGCAACAAGATAATTTGAGATATAATGAGTTTAGAAGATATTATCTATTTAGTTGCTGGACCATCTAAGTCTCGAATTGAATCAAGCATGGAGGATGGTCAAAAGCCATTGGGGGTATTAACAACTGTAGCAGCCAGTACCAACGTCTCAGAGATTCTTCCATCAACAAAGAGTTTATTCCA